TTAGTCTATTTTTGCAGTAACAATGTCAATCAAACTCCGTGAGCACCTTCCATTTTATCAAGCATGGTATCCATTTCCAACTTCTTCTTAATAACATATCTAAAATATGTGAGACCAAGTCTCACTATCTTTGCTTTTAAGGAACCTTCTGGTTGTACTTCTTTCAAAACAGGTTTATTTCATCTCTGTCAATTCACAGTATTTTCAATACTTTTCACGAACACCGTCATTTGAATGCATCAGTTCTTTTGTGGTCTTCCCTATTTATTCTTGAATTTTCACATGCATCTGACCTAACCCATGGCTTGGGTTAGGTGAACTTTAATCCTCAGAGACATTTTTGCTAAAACTTCAAAGAAGTCTTGTGCAGATTTACCCAATGCAGTATGTCCATGAGTGTTGACTGTGGATCCAAGTATGATGAAATCCTTCACTTCAATATCTTCTGTTAATGATAGTATCTATTGGTCTAGTTTTGAGGGTTTTTGTTTTCTTTACAGTGAATTATAATTCACACTGAAGACTGTAGTCCTGGATGTACATCAGCAAGTGCTTCCCAGCAAAGTTGTGTCAGCTGTATAGCTTGGGTTGTTAGAAACCCAATCCTGATGCCCAGTTCTTCTTCATATAATGTAGCTTCTTGGGTTATTGTTCAGTACAGACAGATTAAGCAGAGTGAAAAGATACAACCCTGATGCATTATATCCTTGCTCATACAGCACCCACTAGATCTAAGAAATACACACACAATGAAACCATGAGTAGCTACACCCCTACCCCACACAACTAAAAATAAAAGTAAGTAGTACTGGAAGAAATGAGACAAAATAATAGTGATTTTCAAATAAGAGTACTCCATTCAATGGGGAAAGAAGAGCCTAAGCCAACACCCATACCTCACACACATATAGAAGTTAACTCAAATGGATCTCTGACTAAAACTGTAAAGTATTTAGAAGATAAAATAAAACTTTTATAGTCTTGTTTTTAACAATTTATTTTTAGATAATGATGTTAAAAGCATAAATACTCAGAAGAAATCAATAAATTAGACTTCATCAAAAGTTAAAAGTTTTGTTTGTCAAAGGGTTCTTCAAGCGAAGAGACAACCTGAAGAATGGGAGAAAATATCTGGTAACCATATATCAGATAACAATTTAATATGTGGAATATATGAAGAATTTCTACAACTCAAGCAAAATTTCTAAAAATAATTTTATTGGGAGCTCTCACAGATATCATAACATTCCATAGGTTCAATAACATCAAACAGAATTGTACAATTGCTACCATTGTCAATTTCAAAAATAACCCAAGTTAAATAAATAATAATGAACAAAAGGCCCTATCTCCAAAATTTTTTTTAAAATCATAGCGTTGTGAATGAGGGGGAGTGCAGAGTGGGGACCCAGGGCCCATCTGGGGGAAATTGGACATCCCCTTGCAGAAAGGTTGTGGGGAGGAGACGAGCCAGTCAGAGTGCAGTGTAGCAACGATGAAATATACAATTTTTCTCTAATTCTTAAATGCTTCCTCCCCCCACTAGCATGATCCCAATTCTACCTTACAAATCTGGCTAGACCAGAGGATATACACTGGCACAGATAGGAACTGGAAATACAGGGAATCCAGGACAGATGAACCCCCCAAGGACCAGTGGTGAGAGTGGCAATATCCGGAGGGTGGAGGGAAGGTGAGGGAGAAAGGGGGAACAGATGACAAGGTCTACATATAACCTCCTCCCTGGGGGACGGACAGCAGAGAAGTGGGTGAGGGAGATGTCGGATGGTCTAAGATATGATATAATAATAATTTATTAATTACCAAGGGAAAGGGGGGAGCGGGGAGGGAGGGGGAAAAATGAGGAGCTGATACCAAGGGCTCAAGTAGAAAGCAAATGTTTTGAGAATGATGATGGCAACATATGTACAAATGTGCTGGACACAAATGATGTATGTATGGACTGTGAAGAGTTATATGAGTCCCTAAAGAATGGTTTTTTTAAAAAGGCCCTATCTCCAAAGAAAATATGCAATTGACCAATAAGTTCAGAAAATATACTTAAAGTCATTAGTCATTAACAAGTACAAATAAAAACCACAATGAAATTTCAGTCCTCCTGCTACTGGATGACTTTTATCAGACAAATAAATAATAACAAATGTTGGAAAAGATGTTTAACTTTGGGGGAAATCTGTTTACCATAGCAGCTGTACCATTTTACATTCCCACTACCAATTTCTCCAAATCATTGCAACTACCTGTGGCTTTCCATCTTTTAAATCATAGTTATCTCAATGGGGGTGACGTGATATCTCATTGGGGTTTTGCTTTTCATTTCCCTAATGACAATGGTTCAAATATAATAGCAATTGTGAGGAGGTGAAGTACTGGCAGTGTTTCCCATTATTTTGTACACAAGATCACTATGAGTCAGCACCAACTCAAAAGGCACCTAACCATAAATGATACACATCTTTTCATGTGCTTGTTGCTATTTTGGTGAAATGTCTTTAAATTTTTTGCCCATTTTTTACCTGGCTTATCTTTTTAACTGATAATCTGTAGGAATTTTTTATGTATTCTCAAAAATAAGCCCATCTGATAAATGGGCCCTCTACAACACACACTCTCTATAGATATAGATATATAGAGACATATATATATGTTGTCTCTTCACTTTCTTGATAAAAGTTCTTTTTATGAACAAGTTGGGTTTTTAAAAATCATTTTATTGGGAGCTCGTACAACTCTTATCACAATCCATCCATACATCCATTGTGTCAAGCACTTTTGAACATTGGTTGCCATCATCATTCTCAAAACATTTGCTTTCTACTTGAGCCCTTGGTATCAGCTCATTTCCCCTCTCCCCTCTCCACCATGAACCCTTGATAATTTATAAATTATTATTATTTTGTCATATCTTACACCATCCGACGTCTCCCTTCACCTACTTTTCTATCGTCCATCCCCCAGGGAGGAGGTTATATGTAGATCCATGTAATCTGTTCCCCCTTTCTCCCTCACCTTCCCAGTATCTCCACTCTCACCACTGGTCCGAAGGAGTTCATCTATTCTGGATTCCCTATATGAACAAGTTTTTAATTCGGATGAAGTCCCATTTGTCTATCCTGTCTTTTGTTGTCACATCTAGGAATCCATTGTTAAACACAGCCTCAAAGAATTATCATTTTTTTGGTTGTTGTTTTTGGGGTTTTTTTTTTCCTTCACTGTTTTCCTCTAATTTATGACTTTTAATTCCTACATTTAAGTCCTTGATCCATTTTATACTGGTTTTTTTATATCATTTTATTCAGAGTTCATACAACTCTTATCAAAATCTATATATACATCAATTGTGTAAAGCACATTTGTACATTCATTGCCCTCATCATCCTCAAAACATTTGCTCTCCACCTAAGCCCCTATATACTGATTTTCATATATTGTATGAAGTATGGATCCAGTCTTATTTTTTTGCATGTAGAAATCCAGTTGTCCCTGCACCATTTATTAAGGAGACTTTTCATTCTCCATCGAATGGACAGAGCGCCCTTGTCAGAAATCAGTTAGTCACAGATGTACAGGTTTAATTCAGAATTTTTCATTCTATTGCCTTGGTTAATCTATCACATATCAATAGACTATTTTGATTATCGTATGTTTTGAGATTGGAAAGGCACAGACATCCTATTTTGTTGTTGCTGTTGTTCTGAATCAATCTAGCTTTTCCAAAGTTATGAGAAGACTCCAACACTTATAAGAAATTACAAGCACATAAAAAAATAAGCCCAGGATTTATAGCAAATTGTGATCACATGATTATTTCAACAAGTGTGATAAATGCAGAAAACATAGCAAAGCATTTGTATGTTTACATACCAGCTTAGAAGTATTTCAAATAATGCCAGGAGGGACAAGAAAGTCCATAGGGAAAAAATATATTAAATATTAGGGAGCATATTTAATATGTTAGTACTGAGGTAACATAATTTTGTTGCTTTTAATTTTTTTAAAAAAACTAGTGTCAACTTACATTAATTAAACAAACAAAGCAACCTTCATGTACTAAATACAAATATCACAATTGATGCCTGGTTTCTCAGTGGCCCAGAAAGATGAGAAATAAACCCCAAGGATCTTAGTTTAAACAGGCTGAAGAAAGCAAACTGTGGTTGTGTTGCATGATTCAAGGCTATGTCACAGCTCAGTGGGGTCTACACTTTGTTAGTTCTCCCCGCTCTCTTCAGGCAGTTTCCTATATGCCTACAAACTAGAATAAGAGTGACAGCCTCACAAAAAAGATAATGAGGGAAAAGAAGCTCCTAAGTATGTGCCCAAGCCCCCAAATTCCAAACTTAAATTCTTTGCTATTTAGACATCCAATTTTAATTCAGAGTTTTTTTACGTCAGTTTTATATATGTGTGTGTGTGTTTACATAAAATCTTAACAAACCCAAAGTATGAGGGTTAGAATAGTATGGACATCAGCTCTGGTTAAAACTCAAACTCACTGTGTCAAGGAGATTCTGACTCATACTGACCCTATAACTTCGGTTAAGATCTCAAAATAATTTTAAATCGAATAACTGGTTTAAATTAGAGCCAAGTCATCAATATTAGAATGGGTTCAGGCAAAGTGCCCAGCCTTCCTCCATTTCAGAAAGACTAGAACTTTTCCTGCTACAAGTCCACAGGTATGCACAACCTTCTGCGTACGTAATGCCAGCAAACAAAAGCAACACCTTCAAAGTCTCCTTCAGTGACTACAGGCAGCCAGACACTCAAACTGCCAGTCCAGAATTACAACCTCTGAATGGTGAGGGCTTCACGTTTCACTGATCAGGGCACAGCCCAATCAGAAGACAAACCCCTGCACTGCCAGGGACCAGCAAATCCGCTTTCTTCCAGTGTGCACATGACTGAATGTGCTTCTGTCCATCATCTGGGTCATATATAGTTCAATGCGAACAGAGCAGACAGGGCTGCAAGGAAATCTGGCGCAGTTCAATAAGCTCGTCTAGTCTGGATTCGTGTTCTCTCTCTCTCTCTCTCTCTCTCTCTCTCTCTTAACTGACAAACTCATTTCTCTACCGGGACAGAATGCTGTGCTCGCTGGAAGTTCCATTTCTACAGCAAGAATCCTATCTGGAAACAGAAGTTGTCCTCTAGCTACAGCAGCTTGAACTTTTTTGACTGTTGCTGCTTTATCTCACCACCCCCATTCCCTTTTGACAAAGATCCAACTGTAAAAAGTCTTACGTAACAGTTCAGGACTACTTCGGTTCTTTTCTTGGGTAAGCACTTTAATTTTTTTTTAAACTAAAAGCCATTTTAAAATTGAATCTGTTGAGAGGCATGACTAAAATCTTTTAAGTAGTAGTTTGTATAGTGAAATACTGTCAGTGGATTTTTTAATCTCATTTCTGCACGTGCTCCTTTGTTCTCAGAACAGAAGCTTTTTATACATACCCCATAACGCAGCTGGAGAGAGTTATGAAGTCAGTTATTACAAGGAACACAAAGGTTGCTTTGCATTCTTTGCCTTTAGATAATTCAATTTGTATTTGTTTTCTTTAAATGAAATATTTGAAGTAGAAAGAAATTCACAAAAGAATAAACTGTTGGAAAATCCAGAAAAGTTTGAAGTTTTTAACACCTTTTCTATCTTAGTTTTGTGTGGCCAAACACTTGTGCCGCCTGGGGCGGTGGGGGTAGAGGCAAGCGTAGACAGAGAGGAACTAAGCCAGACATGGACAAAGGCAAGAGCCAAAACCAGACAGTTCTGGCTGTTCGATAGGCCAGCAGTGAGTGAGACAGGTCAGCCAGCTGCAATTGGGGGGAGGGGGGCCTCAAGGAGGGTAAGGATGTGTGAGGTGCTCATGTGTTGATCGTGACTAGATTCTGAAGCTGCCAGCCATTTTCCCAGCTATGCTTTGTGCAATCTGAAGGAATGCATCTCCTCTGAAGCAGTCTTGCTAAAATCCCAATGAACGAATGGAGTGTAATAAATACTTTACCACATGGAATCAGGAAAATACTGGGATGTAGAGTGGGCATGAGGGAATGTAGAAGGTGTGGAAATTTTTTAGTGATCTGGAATGTGTTGAGTGACAGGAAGTGCCCCAAGGGCCCCCCCCCCCATCTTCTCAGTCGCGCCTGCTTTTGTCTAACTCTTGTTATCTATACACTACTGTTTACAAAGCTGTCTGAGTTAAAGACAAAAAGAAACATAAAGGCTCCTGTTCCATAGTACCTGTGATTTATCACGAATGTAAAAGCATTGTCTTTTTGAGGTATATTGGAGAATGGTAAAATAATTTTCCACAAGTAAATGAGAATTATGAATTATAGACAAGCTTCCAAATCTGAATTTTTAAAAGTCTCGTTCTGCTATAGCTTACCAATGCTAACTGGATTCCTAACTAGAATGAGCTTTGCTTTGTGTAGTTGATATGTTTGCATTTGAAGTTGTTTCCATTTTTTGGTATACATTTGGACTTTGGGTAGAAAAATATGCAAAGAAATAGGTAGAATGAACTTAAAAAAAAAGATTTTCTCCATTGGTATTTTAAAGGATTGGTTTTTTGAATAAAGAAGTTCTCTCAATTTTGCATGCATACATTAAAGAAAACTTTATGCTATCAGTGTAAGATAGGAAACTTTTAAAGAAAATTAATTCTAAGTGAAAAGCAAGCTATTTTCTCCAACTTCATATTATCAACGGAAACACTAAAACTTGAGAGAAAAGTGGCCAAATAATTAAACGGCTAACACCATTTTTGGCAATGAAATGGAAAATTAAGCATGAATAAAATATTGAAACTATTTCTACCGCCTACCACGAAGAAAGCTAGCGGCCAGCCTAAGAGTTCATCTTTCCTAGTGTGGCTCTGAGCCTTCATGCCGAACAGACGTTATTCACATGACGATTCGAAGTCCATTCATATATCTCACTACCTGGATTTGAATAGAAACCAGACAGCAATTCTTTAGTTCCAGCCACCATTCGCCCCACTGGACAATAGCGATTTGTTAGCGCAGAGTCACAGGCTGTCGGACACAAAGCTTGGAGCTGCAGAAAGATGGGGGAATTCAGAGAACAGGAAATTACAGGCTTGATGCACTCCTGGAAGCTCTGAGAATACAGAGAAGAAAAAAAAAAAAAAAGCAACCCAACGATGCCATGTTTAAGAGCTACTTCTAGCTTTTATAACCTCTAATGTCGTCAAAGCTCTATTGTTGGAGTACATAAAGTCATGTGCCCCATGTGCTCTTTTTCTCACTACGGGAAACTTCACTCAATGTCCTGGCATAGTCAGAAGCTGTATGCACTCATAGAAAAAAATAGGAGAATTTTACAGATACGTCAGAGAAAAAAAAATAGACTTTAGCAACATAAATAGCATAATAAAAATATTAATGTCTTTAAAAAATTCTTTCAAAAGACCAGACAAAACTAAAACAAATATACCAAGACTCTACAAGTAACAAATTGTTATCGAATAGCATATGAAATCTTCTATTTAATTTTGCAAAGTACCTTCAGAAGATACATAACAGAGTTTAAAAACTAATTTTTACATTATAAACTTTGGAGTTCTGGGCTATCCTTTCCAAAACAAAAAAACTAAAATTACAGTTTAAGACTTACATGGGCCTACTAGAAAGAAACATCAATTTCTTTTGTTGATTATTAAATCACTGTGGTTCTCTGACTACAATTTAGAAATTGTCTCTTCTTCCTTATCAAGACTTAAAAAAGAAAATTAACAGATGCTATAAGTGAGGAAGAGAGATCCTGTCTCCAATCTCAGTCAATGAGCAAGTCCTCATGCTGCAAACTGGAGCATCAGTAGGCCATATTGGTGCTCCATTTCAATAGCAGTAAATGGTTTTATTCTTCTCCCAGTCTGCTGTGATCCATTAACAAACACAAGTTCTGAAAGGTATCAAATCTGAAAGACTCATCAAATGAGATCATGAATGCTAAAAAAAATACTTTAAAAAACTTTTACAATTAAATGGTTTAATCATATTAAAAAGAGTGTGCAATCATCACTACAACCAATTTTAGGATATTTTCTTCTTTCTTGTACTCATTTTATTAGCTCCACATTTCCCTCCAACCTCCCCTCTGCCCTAACCATACGAAATTATTAATCCAGTTACTGTCTCTATAGATTTCCTGCCTTGGTTTCATTTATAAAAAAGGAACATACCAAAAACAAATAAAAGATAATCTCAACAACAACAAAACAAAACAGAAAAATCCTCAATCAAAAATAAGTTAAAAAAATAACAACAACCCAGAACAAATTTGAAATGGGTCAAAAGGGAGATCAAGTGATAAGGTATTAAATTTATCCTAATTATACCTGTATTAATCCATTTTCCAATGTATTCTAAAAGCTAGGCTATTCATGTCCCTGGTCATAATCACAGGAAATTCTCCAGAGGCTTAATCCACATGGGAACCCTGCAAATGGATTTTGGGTTTTCATTATCACCCATAGCTTTCTGTTCAGAATTTAAGCTCTAATACAATTCTCTCTTCCAGATTTTATTACTTACAATCCTTGGGTTCCATGAGCTTCTTCCACATGAAATTAACTGATACCTTGCTTAGGTGGCTGTTTGTTTAAAGACAATCCTATAAGGCCCCAGATTTAAGACCCTATTCTTTATGACAGTTGGGTACCATTTGATTTCTTCAAACATTTTCCTATAGCACCCATATCATCGCTGATCTCTTCATAAGGGCAAATATAAAGTAAGGCCACATCATAAGAACTAATTGTTCTTAAGTCAGAAAGTACTATGAAAACATAAACCTGTTCTACACTATTTGGTCCTATGATAATAATGGATTTAAGTTGCACATATACCAAATTTAATGTTTCTGGAAAACAAATCAGTAACCTTGAAGCTACCAATGACTGAGTTTCCTTAAATCCTATGATTACTCAACAAAGTATTTACAACTGTGTTGTCCAATATAGTAACTACTAGCTACATGTGACTATTTTAACTTAACAAAAATTATACAAAACTAAAAATGTAGTTCCCTAGTTGCACCAGCCACATTTCAAGCATTCAATAATACCAGGTGGCTAGTAGCTATCATACTGAATAGCACATATATATTTCCATCAATACAGAAAGTTATGCTAGGTAGTGCTGATCTAGACTATGCTCACATCCAGCATACATACCTTCAATGTAAACATCCAGCTGAACGGGAAAGAAATTAATCTCTAAGTAAAATGTAACAATGACAAGATTTGCTAGCACCATCACATACTTGAGAAGTAGATATAAGACATTTGAAACAAGGGTGAGAAAGGAAGTTCAGAACCTTATTTTCTTTCGGCCTGATAAATGAAATACTCCAGACAGCCAGTTAGCATGAAGAAGTTCTTATTACAAAAACTGATGTAACTAATTCCATATTCTCCCTCAAGTTTCACTGTCATGGACAATATAGAATAACAGAAAGTATAATGGCCTTGAAGTCAATCAGACTTGGGTTTGATTACCACCATCTACTTACTAAAGGATATTAGGCAAATTAATTCATGACTATGAGGCTCAATATCCTATCTGCTAAATGGGAACTAGCTACCCTGCAAGAGGACCAAGCAAACAATAAAGGTTCCAACACAATAGTTATTATTTATTATCCTTTTCCTTAATTTTCATGTGTGACCCATTACAGACTGATAGAAAACTATCCCAAACACAAGGCAAGTCACCATAAATAAGAATCCTAAAATATTAATACTGGCCATGTCGGCAATTCAACAAGAATAAAATGGACATTTCTGAATAGTAGACAGTTTTTCCCAGATAACATATGATCATATTATCTGGCATTACCCTAAGCAGCCTGGCTTTTCCCAGAAAAAGTTTCATGTCTTATTTGACTCAAGTAACCAATACAGTGCCTGTATGTTTAGAGTTTTATATTTTTATATCTGGGCTCAGGTTTTAGGGAGGACAGTGTTCCTATAGCCAAAAAGTAAAATCTATCCTGCAAAGATGTGCATGAACATAGTAAAGTGGGTAAAAGTAATGGTTTCCCAATACTGGAAACGTGATACATTTGTCCAGGAAAAAAGAAAAAGACAATTTTTAAAATGCAATGATAAAGATGCCTCATTCTCCTCTGCTGACATGACTGCAGTACACAGAACTTCTTTGTGTGAGTTGTTTTTAGTACACAGAACTTTAGATGGAAATCTTTAACAAAATACTGAAGCTTTTTAAAAGGAGCATTTAAATAACTTATTATAAT